AGAGCCACCCTCTAGGGAGTCAGAGATGAAGGGAGTTCGAGTATGATGTTGCAGAGGCTCAGATTTGTTCATCGCATATGGTGTTAGCATCTCTATGGAGATAGAGACAGAGGGAGTTTGAGTATGGTGCCGCAAATGCTTGAATTAGTTCATTGAATATGCTATGGAGACAGAGATGGAGGGAGTTCAAGCTGCCCTGCTCATGCTCGAATTCGTGGTTTGTGCATATATCCAAATGACACATGGGTAGAGTAGAAGGAAGAAGAAGAGGATATTTGTGTCTTTTTAGCAATTTTTTTGGCTTAATCCCAGTTTTATTTTTTTTAATCCCATGACATATCAAACATCATTTTAAAATTTAATCTCACTCCCAATCCCACATTTAATCCCAATCTCATTCCCATTCCCATTCCCTTAAAATGCAATACCTTGTACCAACAAGCCCTAAGAGTTTAATTTTAGTTTATAATTGTACTTGCAAGTTATGAATATATATATATATATATATATATATTGATGGCATGGATTATGTTGTAATGTATGGAATATGATCAAGCGTCTGAGTTATTATTATGAGTGATGGGTTCTTGAATTTGTGGAGATAATGCTATTTGGTGATAATGTGTGCTAGTTGATGGTTTGAGTTTGAATTATTAAGTATGAGGTTGAACATGTGATGTATTAATCAATGCAAGTTTATTGTAGACAAACACTAATTGGTGGAAACTATGGTTTGCTTAACTCTACATCATTCATCCCTAACCCAAATCATTATGGGTATGACTTTTGGTTTGGACTACTTTATTTGGTGTGTGTGTGTGTGTGTGTGTGTGTGTGTGTATTAATATTTTAAAAGTAAAGTCATTATATTATGGCATCAACTTATGGGGACCAATGAAGGCTCTCTATATCTGCGTGCATATGCTCAATGTTACAAAAATAGGGTAAGCTACATTCATCCATTCTAAAAACCATCATTTTCTTCATCCTCAAATTTCATTAAGAAAAATTTATACTTTTCTTGATATTTGTAGGCTAATGTAACTCTACCACTGCATGTCAAATTCTACTTCCTTCAAAGTGACTGTTAATATGGATATGAATTTATATCCAACCAACAAGTTTTAGACTCAGAGAAGAGTGAGGAGTCTCCAAGGGATGGAAACATTCAAAGTGACGTCATATTGTTATATGGGAAAGTTTTTAAAGCTTGACTGAATCTCAAGATATTCCTACCATGGTACTAGTGCTTGTGGATCCTTCTTTTCCCATCATTGTGACTACTAGTTCCACTGTCTTTGCTCGTCTCAACAACCTCGACAAACCTGCTATTGTTTAGTTTCACAACATTGTATCTTCAAAGAACTGGATACTGTAGAATGGACTATTTTTATTTGTCGATTCTCTCTAAGTTTGGAATTTCAGGATTTGTTTGAAATATTCAATAACTTGATTTCTAATAACGAGGTTAATCTGTTATTAGTTACTTTGTGCGCCTTCCTGTTATTTGGCGGTTCAATTGCTAAGTCTGCCCAATTCCCCCTTCATGTATGGTTACCGGATGCTATGGAAGGGGGAGAAAAGTCAACTCCTTGCTCGTTCCGCTACTTCACTTCTTGGCTTGAAGCGCCTTTTCACTTTGTTGGCTAAAAGTGGAAGAACACTGTCCGAAACCCACTTTATCAATATGAGAAAGATGCGCTCAAAAATCAAAAGACCTCCCCCTGCCAAGTGATCGAGTTTAGTCTGAATTTGCTGTATAAGTTGCTCCCGCTTCGGACTTACTTCAAGGAAAGATAGGATTGGCCGGTTCTGGAGCAAGCTTACCTTATTATATATTATGGCCTTTAGGGCTTTTTTTATAGAGTTAGAGTAAGGGGGGCGAAGCTTAATTTAATTCTATATATTAGCAATTTGTATATGTCAACATGTTTGATAGCCATCCATAAAAACATATCATGTTTTGGAAAAGCTGGTAATTCAGGCAGCCAAGCTCAATTCTGGCCGAGCTTATTTGAATCAGGCTTACAATATTTTACCTTATATAAAAATCCTACATAGTCAAGTTTGGCCTTAACACCTTCAAATTTCGGGCTTATTTGGGCCGAACCAAATACCCAAAACTTTTTAAAAATATTTTTATCTATTTTTTAAATTAATTTAAATTTTTAGATAACTTTTTTCAACTTTAAAAGAATAAAAAAAGAATAATTTATGAACATTGTACTTAAGTAATTCTATTGCAATTTTGTTATATTATGTGTAATTTATTTATGAATGTTTCCTTTACTTGTAAATTAATGTCTTAATTATTTAAATATTACTCTTATTATGGTCATAGATAAATATTTGATATATTTTAATTAAATTATATTATTTAACTATGATTAAGTTAATTTTAATTAAATCACAGTTAAATCCCTAACTTAAAATCATTATCCTGACTAGTTCAAAGTTTTTAATAACTTTTGGGTAAATTGTATTTTTCACTTTTAAGAATATAAAAAATTGTCATTATTATATTATATAAAATAAACACATTTAACTATGAGTAAAATATTTTTTTGAAATTATTTTTTTAGTGTGGACAATAATCAAATAATTATTCAAGGATATTATTTCATTTATTATGTTTATCTAGTTATAGAGCCAAAAATTTCATACATGCCTGAATTTTATATTTAAAATTATTTTGAATTTAGTGTTTATTTTAAAATTAATTATCTCATCTTATAAAAAAATATAAAATATATTTTTTGGATACTCAAAAGATGTATAAGAGTCAAAACTTTTTTTAAAAAATAAGTGGGTCTTAAAACATAAAATTAATATTAAAATATATTTTAAATATTATTTTGAGATATTTTATTGTTTAAAAATAATAAAAATAAAAATTTTTTATTTTTTTAAAATAACTATAATAATGTACTTAAATATATAGTATTTTGGTATAAAATAACATAAAACTTAAAGAATTTTAATATTTATAATATTTTATATATTTTGAAAAAATATTTTTTATTTTGGGTATTTGGGCCATTGAGCTTGGCCTGAATTTCTTCAAACTTATTCAAAAAAAATATTATTTTTTCAGGCCTTAACCCTAAAATTTTCAACAAGTTCAGGCTAGCCTATCGGGTCAATTTATGGAAAAATAACAACGAAAGACCATTAGAGAAAATTTATATTAGTCAAGAATTAGTTGTTAAGATTTGAATGAAAAAAAAAACCCAAATAGATTATTATTTATTTATAATAAGTTATTGTTAAAATTTAAATGGATATTTGTTGATATAAATTAACAAATGTCTATTCAAGTTTTCACATAAATAATGCTTAATTGATATAAATTTTTTTCAGAGTTCTTTGATCGATATTTTTCCTAAATTCATCCCTTTGTGGGAGTCTATTTCGTCTTTCTGTCTTTCACTATAAGATGCAACGGAATTTTTTAAAAGTTTGGCATGGGATACGAGATAGATTTTGTTCTCTACTTTTAATTCCTTTTCAAGTCACTTTTTCAATAGTCAGATCAAAACACATTGTTCAATTTTTATTTTTAGAAAAACATCAATCAAAAATCACTAAAATAAATTATATCAATTAAAAATTATTTATTATCAAAATTCAAATAAATATTTATTGATTCAAATTAATTTTTTATTAATAAATATTTATTTAAATTTTAACAATAATTTATTTTAAATTAACAATAATTTATACGGATATTTTTGCATTCACATTTTAATAGTAATTAGTCATTGACAGATGTAAACTTTCTTCAGCAGTCCTCTATCATTATTTTCACTTATTTTTATGGGAAGAGTCACCATTGAGAATAGATACTCGAGACTAGATACTCAACTTCCAGGAGTTCACATTTGGTTCTAGGCCCATCTTCCACTTTCATTTCATTTCATTTCGAGATTATCTATGCCATTCATCTAAATTAATTTTTTAAATATTTTTAATATTATATTTATTAATATAAAAACTAATATTAAATTTAAGTTATTTAAAGTACCTCTAGATAGTTAATTTGTAAACTTATAAAAAATTTTAATATTAAATTAAATCATCTAGATTATATATAAATTGTTTAAAATACATTTAGATAGTCAATTTATAAAAAATATAAAATTTAAATATTAAATTAGATTATTCATATTAAATTCGTACTGACTAGATTAATGATGGATAGATTTATTAATTTTTTTTTACATTTTTCATAAATTTTTATTTAAATAAATGTAAAATAAAAATAAAATATTTTGAATCTAAACATTCCAGATCTCCTCAAGAGAGATGAGTATCATGATGCTCATCCTCCTGTGAGGATTGAAGACAATCCAAATTTAATAGTAAGATTTTTCTTTTAAATGTTTATATTAATAAATATAATATTAAAAATACCTACAAATTAATTTAAATGAACAGCAAAGATTATTTTAAAATGAAACGAATGGCCAAGATTGGCTCAGAAATGATGAGCACTTGGTGCTCACCGAAATGCGGACTCAGACGTCCATACAGCCTCGCCCCCCTTTGTTTTACAAAGACAAATATTTATGCCTTTATTTTATGCCATTCCAAATTCGGTTCAGGATGCAACAGAATCTATACACAGTTTGTCCCCAGAAAAAAAAAAAAAAAAAAAAAAGAATCTATACACAGTTATATCAGTTGAATTGTTAAAGCCGAAGAGAATCTAATTTTATTCTCAACTCAAAAAGTTCTTTTTGCATTCATAAAAATCTGAGCCTCCTGCACATTGTACAGAACTTGACAAGTTAGCTACATTAAACAAGGAAATAGTAAATTTTATATTATAGATTGATATTGACATGGTGGAGCATATAAAAAAAAAAATACCTTGGACGCGTATGCCTCCGAAGAAAGTAAAGAAAAATACCAATCTTCATCCAAAAGGCACTTTCTTTTTAGTATGAAAACCAGACAATACATGCAAAGTATATATCTAACCTTGCTTGCAGTGCTCTGAAATCCCAGCCGAAGAGAATACCTCAACAAGGTTTCGCCTTTTTCTTCTGGGTTTCTTCTCATAAACGCCACCTAGCTTATTATTACAAATCCATAAGCCATTGATCACGAAAAAGTGTCTGAAACCTCAGAACAATTTCCACGTGAAGAATAATGGAGAAATTTATGAACCTAACGAGGTTAGTAATTTCTGGCTTTCTTCTCTCAAAAGTACCCTAGTCTTCATGATCTTGCAGCACACACAAATCTCAGTGATAAAAAGATTATTGCATAATCTGTGTCACCGAATATAGTTTTTCAATCAGATTTCTGATCATAAAAAAATTGAGGTTTGGTGGGAAACTAGCGACGATATGAAAATCATAATTATCAATGTTTGTCCTGTACATGTCGGTTAGGTCAAGTTTTGATGGTTCACAGCCAGAGAAAAAAGGCGATCTAGGTGGCAGTAGAGATCAGAAAACATCAATACAGAAAACCCAATCTTATGAAGGTGAAGAAACTTCCTTGTTATTCTATAAACTTATCTGCTTAACGGTTCCTGATATCCCCCAAGATAGAAAAATTTTTATTCAAGAAATAGAGAACATACTTGGGTTATTCCTCCTCTCTGTCTTTCTTTTTAAAAAAAAAAAAACAGTGAGGCTAATGTTGACATATTCTAATTGGGAATTTTCGCAGAGAAGAAGTCTAAGAATTGGTTTCAGAGACAGTTCATAAAAAAAATGAATAGGGATTATGAATCTGGAGACTTAGAACATGTCACTGCGATAGCAGCCGCTGCATTTGCAGCTAGCAACCAAGAGATCTCAGACATACCACAACAGAACAAGACAGAGAGATCATTAACAAAGACCAGAAGCAAAAAGGATGGCTCGAAAGCTCCAATTTCGCAAACTGGTGGATCCAAGAGATTCTCAGGTAATAGACATGAACATACAACAATGACTAGGACTACACAACTTCAGCCTTGTTTACCTAACTTTAAAGACAGTTCTTGGACAAAATTCTTGTCCATTATAAAAATAAGTCAGATCTTTGGAAGGGAAATAAACTAGATTAAGAAGTTTGAATCAAATGCACATTCATTCAAATTCACAGACGGCCAAGGGAAGACGGAGCCAACATCACCTGCTAGAGATGCAAAGGCCAATGCCCGCGTGCCATCAAAGAAAACTTCAAGTTTCAGAGAGCTCTTAAAGACAAAATCTGATACCGCAGCACCAGAAATTGCTGCACCAGTTCAATCTGAATCTTTGAGGCCACTGATTTCAACAAAACTGGCCACCAAGGAAACAGAAGCAGATGCCTGGGAGAAAGCTGAGCTTGAAAGGATCAAACAAAGGTACTTGGCAGTAGTATCATACTGAAGTTCCTTGAATATACACTGCAATTGCTTCAGGAATTTTCTTCGCATTGCATGGGTATTAATATTTCATATTCCAATAAAAATAATTGTCAGGTATGCAAAGTTGAAGGAGACAATAGATTCATGGGAGAACCAGAAGAGGAAGGAAGCAAAAAGCAAGCTGAACACGCAAGAGGTTTTACTCTTCTGAACTTTATAGTTAACAATGATACTGCATAGTGTGTGCTTATGAACTATCTGAAATATCAGAGTGAGCTGGAGCAAAGAAGGGTGAAAGCCATGGATAAATTTCGAGATGATATGGACCGTATTGATCAGGTTGCAAGGGGAGCAAGACAACAAGCAGATGCAAAACGAAGGAAGGAAGAGCTTAAAGCAAAAGAAAAGGCAGATAGAATCAGAACAACAGGAAGGCTTCCGGGGGCATGTTCCTGTTTCTGAGATAACCAGTTATACAATACCTATGGCCAGGGGCTATCAGTGGAATCAATAGATAGTTCTTTCAAAAATTGTATATAATTATTGCTTTTCCCACTTTTGAGAAAATCATGGGTGGGACTAAACAATATTGAATCTGCACAATTTAAGGAAAACTATCAGAAGCTGTAATTATTCTTTAGATAGAAGTTGCTATGGGAAACTACTGAAGATGTTCAAAAAATGATGCCATTGGTGTCTTGTACTGAAATAACAAATATATTCGTCATGGTCATCTTCAATGCAAGAAGCTTATTTGAATTCGTAAAAAGTTAAAAATGAATGTTAACTGAGCTTCCTGCCTAAAATACCCACTTCAACATTTCATTAGCTACTTACATCCCTTATTGGGATACCTATATGTTTTTCATAAAGTATTCCAAAGACTTCTTAAAAATGGTATCTGCCACAATAAGATGCAAATCCAAACCTTAGGAACATTTTACAATTTTTTGTAAAATATTGAAAAACGAACCCCAGGAGGGTTGAAAGTGGAAACTAGGACATTTAGATCCTCAGTCTCAAAAATGCACTTAAGAATAAGACATGAAACAAATTCCTGGACTTACATAACCTCAATTTTTTGGCACATGAAATTTTTAATCACTTGTTCTCTTATGCATTAACTAATTGTCCTCTGCAGGTAAAAGGAATCACAATCAATTTCCCAGTTCAACAGTAGTGAGTTGCTCACAGAAGATTCACCCAAAGTTGATTTGAGAAGAACATTACCAGGAAATAAAAAAAAAACATAAAAATACAAAAACCTTCAAGTGAAAAAATAATAATAATAATAATAATAATAATAATAATAATAAAGTCAAGCCATATCTCAAGAAATGATTTCCTTGACCAACCTCTCTAGAGTAGGGTATGCAAAGTACAATACCAGGAAAGAAGGGACAGAAAACCTATGGTGACTAACAAGTAAACAGATAAGATAACAGCACTAACTGGAACTGCAAAGAAGGCTGTCAGAAGTAAAATGGCGACTAATGGGAATTTGGACGTAACATGAATGAAGAAATCCAGAGATTTATAAAGGGGAAAAAGGCGTCTAGTTCCATCTCTACCACCATCATTACCATTGGACGCCCTTTGCCCAGAACCAAGATTTATTGAGCGTCTTCTAAGGTTAAAAATTGAAGCTTGATTTCCCTGAATTAAGCTGCTCAAGGGAGAGAATATCGATTGATTGTCCACATTGGAGGAAACAAGCTTATACCTATCACCATTCCAGCTTTCAACCATCCAAAGAAGGAAAAAGTTCTTACGAGGAAACTTCAAATTTCCTTTATAAACCAATCGGAATGATAATAGATAGCACCATGGGCAAGATATGAAAAGTGGAATGTTGATTTGTTGGTAAGGAAGTTTCAACACCGCCCACTGAAGTCCCAGAATGCAATTCTTGCAGAGAGTGTGTCCACACCACAAGACATATGGCACATTCTCAACTATGTTGAAAGATTCCCAGCATATGCGGCACTCCAACCCTTCATCTTTGCAGCCATTAGAACAAACCTCATCATCTGAGCAGTCTGAACAAGTTTGGCTTGTCTCTCGAGAGTTTCCTTTCACTCTAATATTTGCCAATGGATTTGCAGCAAAACTCCACATTATAAAGGACAAGCAATTTTGCTAAGGAAAGGGCATCAATAACCAAAATATCAGTCTCTGAGTCAATGTTTGGCACAATCACGTTGTCATGAAACTGATTTTTGACTCTCAGTCTTCTGCTGTTTATAATCAAGCCTATCCAATCAGGCCAGCTGAAGATATAGTATCAAGAAGAATGATCAACAAGGTAACAAATTATTCCCTAACCACAGTCACTGTAGATTTGAAATTTTTAACGGCACATCTACTAGAAACAACATCACCTTTTAACATCCAAAGCATGTCAAATTAATGATATAAACAGAAGATTCAGGTTCAAGGAGTAAGGACCACAAATTATAATGGATTATAAAGTGCATTGTTAAACAGGACATAAAAAATGTGGGGGGAAAACATGCACTTCTGGGGAAAATTTCACGTTTACTATGCATCCTCTATAAGAACATAGATAATGAGAATTGGCATCAAATTCTTACAATCTATATAATTAAGCAAAAGTTGCCTAGTTATGAAAAGAGTGTCATAATATACCCTGTTAATGTAAAACACGGCTTCAAAAGCTAAAAAGCCCGATATTTGACATTTCATTCTTCCACTATTGGTAAAACAACTTTGCTTCTAGGAGATTTGATTCACAGCTCTTTGACTAATCGAGAGCACTATCTATTATATTACTACTCAAGGAGTGAGTCTAGCTTAATAATCATCCTGTCAATAAGAAGCCAGTAATGGAATCTTATTAACCCTCGAAATAACATCATAAGCATCTAAATCAAAACAAACAGCAATGATCATCGTAAAGAAATCTTGAGATCACCAAACGAAATTATTATTGGTTTTAAAGAATGTTCAAATGACTTACATAATATATAACGATTCAATCTCATCTTCTTCCGCTTAAAATAACTAATTAAGGTGATAAAGAAAATGGGTATCGAACTGCTAGTAAATAATTTACAGACTAAAAACAAATCAATGGGACAGATAAATCTTTACCTCCAAATACCAGCAGTAGAAGGATTTGAAACCCAATATAATGCTATTTTACTGAGAATTTCCAGAGCAATCAGAATGCACTCTTCAGAAATAGGAAAAGGAAAGGAGAGATTGATAGATCGGTTATCTCTCTCTCTCTCTCTCTCTCTCTCTCTCTCTCTCTCTCTCGCCAGAAAAGCGCGATGTTGTCTGCGCAATGCATGTACGGTGTCAATTTGAAGAACGAGTAAATTCTTGTAAGAATTATTGTTACTATTAATTTACTAATGAACAATGTAAATCTGAAGGTTACAAAAGTAATTAAATTTGATAACAAGAAAAAAACTTTTATGTCGTAAAACTTGCACTGAGCCAATTAGCCACAGAATAAACTACTGAATGAGGTATTAATTAATATTAACATGAATGATTGATTAGTGATAAAAAAATAATAAAATGAATTTAAGAAAAGTTAGCATGAATCTATATACATATAAAATCAGGAAAGAACAGTAGTTAATAACCCATTCCGATTACTAGTTAATAACCCATTCCGATAACTAGTTAATAACCCATTCTGATAACTAGTTAAGAACAGTAGTTAAATTTGATAACCTTAGTTATCCTTTTATACCAACATCATTCCTTGTCTCATGTTGCTTTTTATATGGGTACAAACTTATCCACGTCAATACTATTTCTTATTTTACTCTATTCTTATTCCAATGCTATTCATCTATACTCATATTAAACTTTGCACTTATCCACAACATATTCATTATCTATATTAATAATATAGTAGTTACCTACACTGATACTAATATAAATATTAGTGCTCTGTTTTATGTTCCAAAACTTGTGAGCTTCGAGTCTCACTTGTTTCTTTTTTTTTATTTTTTTATTTTCTAAATGTTGTTCTAGCCCCTTTACCTTTCTAGAAACTATCTATACACAATCTTAAGTACAATTAAACACTTATCAATCCTTGCATTTTTCTTTATACCTGTATTATATTTGGGTTTACTACTATTAACCTACCTACCTTTTGTCAGAGCATTAAATGCATGTAATTATTACTTTTCTTACTTTTCGTGAGCACTCAACTCCGTTGAAAAGCACTGTGCCCTCACCTTATTTGCGAAGAAGCTCACTAGGAAAAATGAAGATGAGTCTTTTAGTTAATTAAATCTAATAACATAAATTTTAAATTAAATAAAAAAATTTCCTAATTGATATTTTATTTAAATTTGTTTTTATAGCAAATGGAGTGTAATGACTTAGTGAAACTTATGCTAATAGCTTACCTGAAGATCTAGAGTTTGAATTCTTCTAAGCAACAGGTTAGTTTTATTTTGTTTTAAATTATGAAAAAATTACCAAAGTACTCTTGTCTTTTATGTCATAAGAGAAAAATGTTGTGACCCTTCTTGTGACTTTCCTAATTTTTGAATGTTGAGATTTTTTTCTCCTTCTCCCTACCATTCAACTACAAAAATAGAGAGAGTGAGAGTGCATTCGTCCTTCCTATTCTTGTTAAGCTTTCCATTCTTGCCTTCCTCCTCTTATCACCAACAGCTTGCTGTAACATCCTAAACTTTTGATTGTAGATTGGTGAATTAATTGGATAATTGTAATTTTGGATGATGGAATGATGTTTTTGTTGATGATTGATTGAATGAATAGGATCGAGTGAAAGAACAATAGTCTGAAGCAAATTGTATGAGTAGTTGAGTGATTTTCTTCACTGTACTACGTGCCATGGCATAAACATGATGGGCTATGGCACATGGCACAGAATTTGGATAATTATGTGCATGAACTAGGTGCGAAAGGGAGAGGAAATGAGGGGAAAGCATGACAAAGGAGAGGAGAAAGGGCTATTCGCTACTAGGGATTGCTGTCTCAAAGTGCTAGGGGATATTTTCGACCTATCACTTACTAGATAAGTCTTATATCGCCCTATGTTCCTATCCTACTCTAATTTCTCTAGGCTTGGGATGTAGAGAATTTGAATTGTGGAGTTTAGGAATCTACTTTCTAATTGAATAGTTATGAAAAATATATTGGGTGTGAAACTAAAATTTTATGACTAGTTTGGGGTTTAACGGTTGAGCTTTAGAGCTGTAAGCTCAATTTGACCTAAATTGGAATATTTTAATAAGTGGTGTTACTTGTGTGGAATTTTGGGAGGTAGTTTAGCCATTGTTATGGTCTAAGAGTTTGTGATTGTTGTAACATCCCAAGTATTCAATTTAGAAATTTTAATTTTTTTAAGGGTAGAATGGTAATTTCAAGTTAATTTTTCATTAATGATATTTTTAGAAGACTAATATAGTTTTTGGATCTTTGAACAGCCTTAAAAGAGGGCTAGGTCAAAGTTTTGAATAGGCCGTGGCATAGAGGGGGGTTTAAATTATGGAAGGGGCTCTTTGTGCCATACGTTATGGCGGACACGTTAGTGCGCACCTACACAATTTTGAATTTTATTAGTCATAAAACAAACCTGAAATCAACAGTGGGATAAGTGAAATAGTGAGGAGGTGACATGAGATGATCGATAACTACTGGGGCACAATCTCTAGACCATTCTGAATGCATTTAGGGAAAGATTTGTCCTTGGGTAAGCTCCCTACACCTCTC